GGGGGGGGGGGGGGAGCTGGTTGCCAGCATGCAGCAGCGTGACCCGACCGTGGGGTGTGCAGGCAAACATGCGAGAGACTTCCCTTTTGCTCCCAGAACGCAAACCGGGATGAAAACGCCATGGCAATGTCTCATGGAGCCGCAGCCCTGGCTGGGGAGAGAGGGAGAGGTGAGACGGGCCAGCGCCAGCGCACGGGACACTGAACCATGGCATGGTGTATGAGCACGTGCCCTTCCCCACCAGCCCTGGGAGCCCAGGACCCTCAAGAACAGGGGTCTGACCCCAACCCCCCTGGCCCCACTCAGCATACAAACAGGCAGGGCCTATAGGAAGGGCTCTGGGGGACAGGCAGGTGGCCGGGCTGAGACCCAACAAAACTCATTGTGCAAAAAAAAGCCCCTTTAGTCAGCCTGCAGGACTGTGCCCCAGTTCCAGTTTCCCCCTTGGACGGGCCAGCTCGATGCAGTAAGCAGATGCCAGGGTGAGGGAAGGGATATTTTCTGCCCCGGGTGCCCTGCTCGCCCTGCCAGCCGGGGTTTATTCTGAGCCTGACCCCATGCCAGTGCCTGGGGGGGACCCACTGCCCCGGCTGAAGCCCCGCTCCAAAACCCAGGGGGGGGTCGTACCCAGGGTGGTCAGGGAGAACTCTCCCTCCCAGGGCCAGGCATGGCACGGAGGAGCACCCGGCCACTGAACCAACCTGCCCATCTGGGGGCACGTCGCCCTGTCCCAAAGGGGTCCCCTGTCCCCCCCTGTCACCGCCACAACCCACCGCATGGGCTGGGCACGGGGGGTCCCAAGACAAACTTTGGGGTCAGAGCCCCCAGACCCTCTGCCCCACGGTGCTCCTATCTCCACGCAGCCTGGCAGTGCCCCAAAAGTCCCCAGAGAGAGCACCGGTGTCGGGGTCCCCGGGGAGCTGCAGTCAACAGCCCCCCGCCACCCAAACACCCCAGGGGTGGGTGCAGCTTCACAGCCCCCCGACCCCAATGCCAGGACTGCACCCCCACGTGCCCCCCACCTCGTGTTCCCCCGTGCCATACCAGTCATGCTGGGAGTCCCCCCCCCACCTTACCAGCAGGGTCGGGGCCGAGCCGGGAGCGGGGGGTTCTGCCGGGCCGAGCGCGGCGCAGGGCGGTGGGAGAGGCGCGCGGGGCGGCAGCCGACGGCGCGGGGACAGCTGGGCTGATAGGGCCACCCTAAAAATAGCCAAGGAATGCGAGGGCCTCGCCGGCGCGCGCAGCAGCCGGAGGGAGCGCTGGGAGGGGGGGACGCACGGGTGGTGGGGCCTTGCCACCACCGCCACTACCACCACCACCGCCACCACTGCCGCCACTGCCGGAGGAAGTGATGTGGGCTGGCGGCAGCCCGGCGCCGCGGGGGGAACTGCCTGGCCTCCGTCCACCCCCCGCCCCGGGGGGAGCAGGGAAAGACACCCCCAGGCTGAGCACGGCTGCAGGGACCCAAGGAGGGTCCTATGCCATGAGGGATGGGGTTGCACCGTCCTGCACCCCAGGGTCCCACCACGGGGTGTCCGGCATGGGTGCAGCCCCAACACCGCTTCCTCCTCCCTTTGCATCCCCCATGAACACCACAGCCCCCCCCAAAACACTCCCAGGGCAGACAGCCCCCCCTCAATCCCCGAAGCGAGGGCAAGTACCACGGAAGTGTGCCGGCCCAGCAAGCCCCCCCAGGCACAGCGTGGCAGCCCGTGGCAAAGCGGCTTTCGTGGCAAAGCTGTCTCCGGAGGTCCAAGGTCTCCCTGGAAACAGCGGGAGCGGGGCGGCAGGCGAGGGGCCGGGGGGCCTCCCCGCGCGGGGGCTGCCGGGAGGAGGCCGGTGGCAGGGAGCCAGGCAGGCCGGCGGCGGCGCGGAGGAGAAACAGTGACCGCCCAGGCATGGCGGGGGTCCCCCAGATGGTGCCTGAGCAGGTCCCTGCCTGACCCCAGGGACGCAGATGTGCCCCGAGACAAAAAGCACTCCCGGAGGGAGCAGGGGATCCCAGCCTGAGCGGGAGGGCTGTGCCCATGGTGGGCTGGAAATCCCCACGTTGGGGACGCCAGCACCAGGACATGTCCCTCCTTGCCCAAGTTAACGCCAGGGTTTGCAGCGCTGCCCCAGGGCTGGCACCACACCGGGGAGAGGCCATGGCAAACACTCTTGGCAGGGCTGGCATCACGTGGTGGAGGGTGTCCCCAGGTAGCACTGGTGGCAGCCACTGGGTTACTGGCAAAAAGTCACAGTAAGGTCCTCTGACAGCAGGAAAAAGGCTCTGGTGAGGGTACCAGCCCAGTCCCAGCACGCAGAGCTGCCGCAGCCCCCTCCACAGTGAGCCAAACCTATGTGATCCAACATGGTCCTGCCTTGCCGGGGGGTCCTGAGCATCCCTGAGGCAAGGCACAGAGCCACCCACCAGGGAGGAGCCTGATTCCCGCAGGCCATCTCCACTGGGACCCCCAGCACGGCCGTGCAGCCACAGCAGTGATTCTGCCTGACCAGCAGATTCCTCTCATTCCTCCACCAGGAACTTCAGCGGAGACGCACCAACCCTGCAAAGGAGCCTGACGGACACATGTCTCCTCCCCAGGGTCCCTCATGGACCTCAACATCAAGAACGCCCCAGCAGCACCATCCCTATGGTGAGGGCAGAAGAACAGCCAACCCAAGAGCTTCCCCCAGAGGAAGCTTGGACAAAAGGAGAGAGCACCTCCAGTACGATGGGAGTCCCACAGCCCCCACCCCACGTCCCCTCGCCTCCCCATGGAGTCCTCAGTGGGACAGCAAAGAGCCAGCACCCAGCCACGCATGGCACGGTGGCCTTGCACCATGGGGACAGTGATCTCCAGGGACCAGGTTGCCCGTGGCCGGCGGGTGAGCGTGGCACGCGGGGTCTGCCGGCGCAGCCACCGAATGCCTGTGGTCCCACTGAAGCTCTGGAGCAGTCAGAAGCGTTTCTGGAATATTTCTGCCCGGCCAGCGCACGCCTGGGCCCTGCCAGAGGAATTTCGCCGATAAATAAATAAATACAAGTGGGGAGCTGAGCCAGCCCAGCTACCCCGTGTCAGGAGCAGAGCTGGGTCACGGGAGGGTGGTTTCACCCAGTCCCTGATGCCTGGCCATGCCGTGCCACCGGCCAGCAGCCTGTGCACCCCACAGCACCGAGAGCCCCCCCAAGACATAATGGGTGCTACCCCTGCCTGGCTGCAGCATGGGTCTGGGGCAGCTCAGGGGGCCCCTGCTGAGGGGGTTAAACCCCACCACCACGGTACGGAGGGAGCCCAGCACCGTCCTGCTCCAGCCAGGGAGGGGCTTCCAGAGCAACAGCCCAAAATATGTCTATAATTTCCTGTTTCAAAAAGGATCATTTTTATTTAAATTAGGACCAGAAACATTCCAGGGAGCTTAGTGGGGCCTGGGGGAGAGAGCTGGGCCTCCCTCTGCGCCGGCACCTTGCGTGGCTCTGCCGGGCGAGGGACCCTCCAGCCGTACCCCGCACCGCAGCCTCGGCTCCCCAGCACCGGCACGGCCACGGCGCATCCCTCCAGTGCAGCCCTGCACCGTGTGGGAGGGGAGGACAGCATCCCGTGCCGGGAGGTGCCCGTGCTGTAGCAGCACCCAAAGATACCACAAACACGGTCACGGCCACCCCTCTGGCCGGTTTCCTCCAGCTGATGCTATCACCCCGTGCCAGGACCCGGAGGCACGAGGCCGTACGCTGCAGCCTCTCCCCTGCAGCCCCAAGGGCACTGGCATCTCCTCTCCCCCTTTCCCAGCCGCAGCACCGCGCTCTTGGCAGGCACAAAGCACCTCGCCGGCCCCCGCACACTGGCATTGAAAGTGGACCTGCTCCCATGCCCGCACGTGGCAGCCGTACCCCTCCAGCCCCACTCCCCCAGCCCCACAGGGTTATCCCAGAGGCATTGTCCAGTGACGCCTGCCGAGCTCCAGGGAGGAGATGCTGGAAAGCCACCACTCCATCAGGCTCAGACTCCACCCCACAGTGCCCACCTCTGCTGGGGAACACATGGAGCCCCACAGCCACCCATCACGGCCACCCTCACGTCATGCTGGCCACTGCCCCACGGGGACAGTGCCCTGCCACACTCCGCACAGCTCTCCCTGGCACAGACAACCAGTTCGGCGGGCACAGCCAGCCTCCTCTCACTATGGAAGGCTTAAAAATACACTAAACAAGCCCAGTGATAAGCTAAACCAACGCCGCGCTGCTGCACCCCCTTGCCACCACGGAGGGGGTCCAGCCCCGCAGGCTGTTGGCATTTGGGGGCCTCCACTGGGACGCTGGCCGGCCAGGACTCCAGTTAGCCCACGGCAGGGTGAGCGGAGCCCTGCGGCTCACACGGGAGATGTGGGTCACCCAGCCATTAAGTTTCTATTTATACAGCACCAGCCGTGCACACCAGGGCTGCGCACGCTGTCGGCAGCTCCCGTCCCCAGCACACTGCACTGTCCTCCCGGATCCCAGAGGAGCTTAGTGGGGAGGGGTCCCAAGGTGTGGGGGGAGCAGTGGGGCAGGCAGGTCCCCTCCCACAAAGCAGCATTAGGGATTTCCCTGCGGCGAGGAGCAAAGCTCCTTCCTCTGCCAAACTGTGACAGCACAGGGATAGACTGCTCCCAGACCAAGGCAGAGCTGGGCTCTCCCGGAGCCCCTACAGCAGAAGGAAGACCAAATCCAAACGCACAATGAGCATTTTGGGGGGGCACCACTGGTGCTGGTTCACAAGCCCCGATACAAACCTGCCCTTGGATGGGCACACATCACCCCTGCACCCCTGCCACAGCCTCCTGCTCCTCCCCGTGCATCACTCCCAGCTGGAGCAACCCTGGCACCCGCCGAGTCCCACAGCCCCTGCCAACCCAAACACCCCACTGCGAGGACACTGGTGGCCAGCAGAAACCCAGGGCACCAGCCCCATGGCACGGATGGTGTTACTCACATCCCAGGCAGCGCGGCGTGTCCCCTGGCTGCCCCGCAGCCAGCAGCGGCTCAGCTCGCTCAGCTCCAGGATGGGCTGCACCTTCAGCTGCACCGTCTCCCCCGACTGCCGGATCATCTCCACAATCTCATCCCGGGATTTGTTCTCCACGTTTCGCCCGTTGATCTCCACCAACCGGTCGCCCGGTACCAACCCCAACGCCAAGTCTTTGGTACCGGCTCCGGGTTCGGCGAAGTGCACGACGCGGCGGTACACCTGCCCGTCGGGTGCCCGGTCCAGCATGGTGGTGCGGCGCAGGGAGAAGCCAAAATCACCGGTGTTGCGTCTCTGCAGCTCCAGCTGCCGTGGGGTGGGGGGCTGGGGGGGCACCACGGCCGGCAGCCGCAGCTCAGCGGGGAACCTCTTGCTGACGAGCTCCGGCACCCTGGCACGCAGGGAGGTGGTGGAAGGGGTGCGGGGGTGTCCCAGGGGAACCCCCTGCTTGGAGAGCTGGGTCTCCAGCGTGCGCACCTCCACCTGTGGGGAGGGGGCTGCCGAGTGCTCAGAAGGGGTGGACGTCTCCGAGGTACTCTCATCCCGGCTCTTCTGGGAGAAGGAGAAGCGTTTGACGATCATTTGGGAGTTCTGTTTGGCCAACGAGCCGAACTTGGCCGCCCGCTGCAGCACCGAGCCCTTGAAGTTGGCGTCATCCACCTTGAGGTCATCACTGGAGCTGGCCGTGCTCAGGTGGCCCGAGTCCAAGATGACGCTGCCCCGGTTGCTGTCGGAGTCGATGTCCGTGAGATGTAGGTCTGAGCCACTGGCCACCTTGATGGGGATGGGGTTGGAGATCTCCAGGCGCGTCTTGGAGTCCCGTTTGGAGGCACGGTTGAGGTTGAAGAAGCCCCGGCGCATGCTCATCTCCTCCAGGCTCTTGAGCTCAGCCGCTGACATCCGCTCCTTCTTCTCCTTCTTTTCCTTCTTCTCCTTTCGGGCCCCATCCTTCTCTTTATCCTTCTTCATCAGGTTGAACATGGTGGAGGGGGGCTTGGGGCGCGCTCGCCCCTCTGGCAGGGTGCTGGGTCGGGGTGTTGGTCACGGCACAACCGCCTGCCTGCAGAAGGACAGATGGACAAAGGCACCATCAGTTGGTGACAAAGCCAACAGCCACCCCACCGCCCCTCACTCCACCCTACGGGTCACCTCTAACCACAAACCATGTCACAGTGTCCCCACCCTCCCTGGGGACAGCAGCACCAAGGGGCTCTGAGACTGCCCTGATCACCATGTCTTTGCCCTGGCTGGGCACCAAGCCCCAGGGATGCAGCAAAGGTGGCCCCACACCTCCAGGGATGCCCCAAAAGAAGCCCACCAGCTGGCATCCCCATGCCAGCACCCAGGCTGATGGTGCATCTCCCCAACATCTGCGGCAGCTTGGGAGCCATTTTGGAGCAACACAGGTGGGCAGGAGAAGAAGACATCCTGGCTGTATTTGCAGCGGTTACTGCCGGTGTGGATGTTCCCTGGGCAAAACTGCCCATCCCCACCGGCTGTGGCACCACAGGCATCTCTCCCACTGGTTCAAAAGGCCCTTGTCAAAGAAACAGAGGCCTCTCTGCCTCCCATCCCACCCCCAGCACACCACAAAGCTGCAAGTGACAGCCACGGGCAGTGTCCCCACCAGGAAGGGAGCTGGAAACACAGCCCCTAAGCGAAGGCTGTCATAATAAACAGGAACCTGTAAAATCACATCCCTCCCAAACGCTGATAAGTGTCTAATTTTAGCTTGGGCAACGTAGAAACTCATGACGCTGTCAGTGACCTCCAGGAACAGTCGCTCTTT